ATACTCATGGTTTCCTCACTTTCTAATAAGCCAGTAATCCTGCAGTATAAAAGGTAGGAAGTTATTAATAAAGGGTATATATTTATATTCGTTTAGTTGTAAGTGGTTAATAAATGGATTTGGTCCAGTTTCTCCACAGAACTTGGAGGGTATTCCTGATGAATTAATGAGCTAGCTAAAAATATAAAGCAACACACTGAAAGGAGGATGATTTTTACAAGCAAACTAATGGCTTATAAGTTATTTAACTGAATCGGCAAAGCTTTAGAAATTATGTATAAAGCACAAAAAACACATTAGTTAAAACTAGTAAAGCCTCTATGAAGGCTGCAGTATTGGAGAGTGGTATCAGCCTTGATTGTAAAACTGTATAATACCCTTACATTTGCTCAGACTTCTGTTGGATAAAGAGTTTCCTTCCTTTGCCTAAACAGAAGACACTGAGATGCTTCATATCCTCATACTGATGAACTCTTTCTCCCTTGAGGTAAAATATGCTTCAGATAAATAAGTTCAGATTTAATTTGGCTCCTGTCCTCAGGTTCTGACCTGTCCGGAGCATGACCAGGAGAAACTACAGTTCTATTGTAGGTCTTGTCAGCGGCTGCTCTGCCCTCTCTGCAAACTGCGGCGTGTCCACACTGGACACAAAATCCTGCCAGTGGCCCACGCATACCAAGCCTGAAGGTACGACTCTGAAACTGACATGGTCTGGACTGGGTATCTCTAAATGTCCAGCAAAATTGAAGGTTTGTATATATGATAGTTCTGAAAAACATACATTAACATTTCATATGAATTATGTCAACACTTCTTTTCTCAAACTTTATAGTTTAATTATTGAGTGAAAGAATTTTGAAATTTGAAAATTTAAGGCTGTGTGTAACAGTTAAGCTGTCTGGTGTGTTTTTGCTGTTTATTTGACAGGAGAAGATTACGAAGGAGATGAACTACATTCTGTCCAACCAGGACACAGTTCTGGGTCAGATTACCCAGCTGGAGAGTTCCATCACTCAGACTGAGGTGATTAATACTTTGGGCTGACAAAATGTTGCTGTACATGGAATTAACAGCAGTCAGTTGCTAAATAACTAAAAAAACTGTCAAGGTTGCTGATCATTTTACCAGCTGCTTTGACAGGCAGCCAATTTGTGTTTGGCTAAATATTATTGTTGAATTTTGACAAAAAAAATTGTCCGTAACTCTATGTTTTTAACAACCCCCTAATTATTCTTAATAAGTATAAACAATGAATGAATTGTTTATAACACACTATGATGTAATTGTAAGAAGATAATGACATTTTAAGATCTTTATTATTGTATTCAACTGTATATCAACTGGATGTAACTCCTCCTGTGAATTATCCATAATTGGTGTATAAAAAATTCATGATTGATACTCATATTTAATGATATATGATAACACACATAAACAAGCCCTTACGGTGTTTATAAAATCTTCATTACATGTTTTTACACACAATAATTGTAGGCCAGTTTAATAGTAAAAATGCTTGAATCTCTATATTCCTCCTGGAGCTTTCAGCTGCATTCATGTTTGCTCAGTTGCCATGACAGTGAAATTAAAAAATACTGTATACATTTAATTAATACATATATTAATGAAATACTTTATACTTTACTTTATTTTACTAAATATTAATATCAAAATGAAGAGATACTTGACATATAATTGTATTATATTCAGTCTATTTATACGCCAGTTGTGGAAGCATCACAGGAGGAGTTACAGACAACTTGTTGACAAAATTAAAGACATCTGCTTATTTCAGTGTTCAGTAATGATGTATTAATTGTTTATATACTGCTTATACATGCTAAATCAAATGTCATGGCCTAGGGAGAGACATCATCAGAAGTATTACTATTGTTGTCAAAGTTGTTCCTGTGCATATAAAAAATTAATCCAACAGGTGATACCATAAACAAAACACAGAGATGGTTTAAGCTGGTGGTTTTCTAATATTACCTTATAAACCATACTAACTTAATTCCAAAAAGAAATAAAATATTCCACCTTAGTTTCAAAATTGTGTTAATATTCCACAATAGTGTCTGCTTGTACTTTATTTTAGGAGCAAGGTTTGCATAGTAAATGTGTTTATGAAGTTAAACTTCTGATCACTTTTTTTTTTAAAGATTTAGTCCATGTAGATGAAGAAATTAGTATCAACCAGCTGACACACTGTTATTAATCAGTGCACAGCAGTAATCTGTCCACTGTAACATC